TCAGTGCTACCAATGGTGTTGGAGAGCTTCTGCTGGGGCAGAGATAGAGGTCTGGGCAGTGAGGTAGGGAAGAAGCAACCAGCTCTTCCCCTCTAAAGTCTGGAAAGAGCTCTTCTCCCCTAAAGTCTGTCTGGGAAGTTCTGAGCAGGACCTGGGAACTTACATATTGATGAGAACCCAGTTAACCAAGCTTAGGAAATTCCAGACCTGGGACTCATCGGGAGGCCTCCCTGCGGTTCACCAGTTGTCAGACTCCTGGGTGGGGTCCAGTCAACAGGGTCTGGCCCTCGGGTTGGGCCCTTCCTCCTACTGCCCTCTCACACCCTCTTCCACCTTCATATTCCTCTGGGTTCTTCTTTCTCTTGCCCATTCTCCCTGGGGTGTGTGGAAGCACTGCCCCAGCCCTGGAGGAAGCCCCACGATCCTGGCTGTCTAATCAGGGAGAGACACGGAGAAGGTGACAGCTGCGGTCGGCTGCAGGTGCTTCTCAGGGGCGAGGCAGGATTTCTGTGGGATCGGGGAAGGCTCCGTGGGTGACAGAGATGGAGTGGCAGGAGGGACGGGCATCACAGGTGAGGAGCAGGGTGGAAGGGTGGGTGCAGTGACCCAGGCACACTGAGCACCCTGTGATCTTCCACGGCAGGGACAGAAAGGACAGGACTGCCTTCTTTTCATTTTTTGTATGTACTGTTCTTTTAAATTTAGATCTAGTTTATATAGAGTAAAGCACAGAGCTTTCTCCCAATTATTTCTTAAAACCTTTCTCTACTCTCCATACCCCTACCCCTTTTCTGGCCTAGGATCCCGGATGTTAGAATGTTTCTGGATGGGTTTCAGATCCGACAAAGTCCCTGGTAGAGTAGACTCATCAACTTTGGTCACAGCAAAAATCATTTCAGAATGCATCACTGATGTGCAGTTTATTAGGCAGAGTTAGAAACTAAGAGGAAACAGGCAAGGGACTTCCGCTCGAGGAGTTAAGAGGCCATATTTATTTCTTTTTCAGTACTGTGGCTTGAACCCAGGGTCTCTGCACTGAGCTGCATTCCCAGCCAATTTTCTATCTCTTATTTTGAGACAGGGTCTCACTAAGTCACTAAGCTGCCCAGACTGGGTGGAACTTAGGATCCTCCTACCCAGCCTTTCAGAGTGCTGGGATTCCACGCCTGTACCATGCCTTGCTGTAAAGGGGTCACATTTCTGCTAAATAGCCTTTTGTGCCTATTCACAAAAGAAAAACCAGCAGAGGTGGGTCAGGGTCTGATTGATCATTATCTTCATTTTGGTTTTGCAAGAAGGCTTTGGGAGAAATCCTTACCACTGAGGGGCAGTTTGGTCTGCAGATACTCACTGTTTCTGTCTGGGGCAGCTTCAGTCTAGTGGAGGCTCTGTTGGACCCAAGGTGACTGTAAGTTTTGGGCAGTGACTAGAGACTTCTGAGCACAGTTGAACGTCCCATAATCTCTTATTTTGGTGCCCTGTCTTTTTTTTTTTTTGAGATAGGGTCTTGCTGTGTAGTTCAGGCAGTCCTTGCACTTACTATGTAGCCAGGTTGGCCTTGAACTTTCAGTAATTCTCCTGCCTCAGCCTCCCAAGTGCTAGGATTACAGATGTGAGCCACAGCCCTTGGCCCGCTGCCCTCAGGCTTAAATGGGGACATGCAGGTTAGGTAAATTCAAGGCCAACCAACCTATTTTGCCAATATTTAGATCGACCCTGCTTAAGTGATTAGCATGCCTATATGCAGAGTTAGATGTGCCCAAAGTTTTAAGGTAATAAAGTGCAAGTTGAGCTTTGTGCAGTTTCTTAATTACCTACTGGGCATCTGTAAGCCCAAATGAAGATGTTTTTGGGTAGCAAAACCCACTTTCAATTTCCCAGCTGCCTCAGAAGAAAACAAGATCATATTCTTCATGACTAACAGGTTAAGGATCCAGGAGTTCTGTTTGTCCTTTTGTCTTTTGTCCCTTTTGCCTTTTGTCTTTTGGTCTCTGTATCAACACCCCTTGATATTTTCCTACAAGCCCATTGGGGCTATATTATTCTTTTTTCCAGCTTGCTGTTTTCAGCTCAAATTATTCCCACTGATACATTTTCAAGATCACTGATCTTTTCCTTAGTAGCATTAGGTTGCTCTTAAATCTAGCCAATGAATTTTTAATTTCAGATATTGAATTTCTTCTCTCTTGAAGTTCTATTTGATTCTTTATAAATACAGTGGTACCTTGGTTCAGGAACTTGATTCTTTCCACAATTATGGGTGCAAACTGAGCTGGATGAGAACAGAATCAAACTCAATGGTTAGGTTCAGTGTTGAGTTTATGAGGAAATTTGAGTCGATTCTCTTCCAGTTTGCTTTGCAACTAGAATCATGGAAAGAATCAATCTCTTGAACTAAAGTATCACTTAGTTTTGTTTCTCTTACATTGAATCAACAGGTCTCCTCTTTAAGTATATTTTACTGGCCACTTTAAAGTCCTCGTTTGCTCACTTCTTAATATTAGTCATGTTTTGGTCTGTTGCTGTTGCCTAATTTTGCTTCTGGTCATGGGTACCATATTCCTGTCCTTAGAATGTTTAGTGATTTTTGGGTTGGATATTGTAGGTTGTAACATCACAACTTTGTTGCCTGGATTTGATCATTTTCCTTTACAGTGTAGTGACTTTTTTTTTCTTTTCTTTTTTTTTTTTAAAAAACTGGATTTGAATTTTCCTTTACAGTGTAGTGACTTTTTTTTTCTTTTCTTTTTTTTTTTTTTCTGGTACTGGGTATCAAACTCAGGACCTTGTGCTTGCCAGACAGGAGTGGTGCCACTGAGCTACATCCCCGGCCCAATATTTGTTTTTGACAGATTACCAAGTCCCTTGGAGATCTGCTTGGTCCTATCAAGGCATGTGTTCTGGCTTTGCTAGGGCATGTCTAGTGTGACTTTAAATTAAAGTTAGTTCAGCCCGAATGACAATAAGTGATATTTGTGAGTCATGAGTGCCTCAGGTCTGTCTACCGTAGATGCAATCTGAATATGTTCTCATGTTTTGTGAGCTATGAGAATTGCTCTGCGTAGAAGTTCTGTGTTTTAGCTTATGTTTATGTGTGTTAGCCTAGGCAATTTACCTTATGCACCCAGAGCTTAGCACTTAGCTAAGGAGACTCTGCACATTTCTGAAGCTCTCTGTAGAATTTTGCTACAAAATTCGGCTTTCTCAAACTTTGATATCTGTCTCCTAAGCTCAGTAAGCCTGCTGTGCCTCCTTGTTTCCCCTCCTGTGCCAAAAAACTGGAACAATTATGAGGCACACTTTCTTTGTTTTTCTTTCCTGCCTGTTGTCCATATCTGAACTGTTTCGTATATATTTCAGTGTCTCAATTGTTTCATATATTGTACCCTGGTTTTTATCTGTTTATAATTATTTATAGCTCCAAAATCAATTACTTTGTTTTGGACAGATGTCACCTCAAACTTGATATCTGTATATACCTAAATAGATACAGAAATTCACATCACCCTGACCCCAGAGTCCTTTTTTGCTCATTTTCAACCACTACCCCTCCCCACAAGCAAACTGCTTGTTTTATTTTGTTTCAGTTCATTCATTCATTCACTCATCAAACACTTAACAGGACACACAGGTCAAACAAACAGTGTTCAGGAGAACAGGCTAGTCAAGTTCCCTGATTCAGGGACTGGGCAGTCTCATAAATAATCATGAAATTATGGGAGCATTACATGTTTCCTGCAGAGGCTGATGGTGGCACAAAGACATTCAGTAGAGCCGGGCGTGGTGGAACACGCCTGTAATCCCAGCGCTCTGGGAGTCTGAGGAAGGAGGATTACAAGTACAAGCCCAGCCAGGGCAATTTATTGACTTCATGAGAGCCTATCCAAAGAAGGAAAAATGGGCTAAGGATGTAGCTAAGTGTGAAGGCCCTGGGTTCAATCCCCATTACCAAAGCAAAATAAAACAACAAAAAACAATTAGTAAGAAAAATTTTCCTCATCTGAGTGGCCCAAGTCAATGCTAGTGAGAAAATTATATGAGCCAGGCCCTAAATAATGAATAGGAATTAACTAAGGAGAAATTGAGAGAAAGAGGTGGGAAGAACAGTCCAGGTAGAGAACGGAAATCATTTGTGAGCCCCTTAACACAGGCAGAGTATCCGACAGAGAGGTCAGGGCCAGGGCCTCTGATGCAACATGGTGGTGGAGGGGTCAGTGGGACTGGGCTATGCAAGCTGAATTAAAGATTTCAGGGCCAGGGATTTAGCTCAGTGGTTCCATCACCTACTTCACAAGTGCAAGGTCCCAAGTTCGATCCCCAGTACAAAAAAAAAAAAAAAAAAAATTTCAGTGTTCACTCTGAACAATGAAAGGCTATTGGAACACTTAAAAATAGATACACAACACAGGCTCGTGTTTTAAGGGATTATACTCACTGCCATATACAGAGTGAGTAGGGCACCAGAGACCTGGTAAAAATTTTTCCCAGTAGTCCAGGCAAGAAGCCATGCCAGTCTGGCTAACCTGCTTGTGGGAGAAGCAGAGAAAGCAGGAATCAAAATGCAGGTACTGGAATGACCCCCAGGCTCACAGATCCAGCTCAACAGGGCACCCGTGAGGAAAGAGTTGGAAGAGGTTTCTACTGTAACTCTTAGGAAATGGCTTTGGGAAATTCTGAGTTCAGCTGGGTCAGGCAGGCACTTGAGATTTATTTATAAATTGAGGAGGAGCTGACAGGTGGGCACTTAGAGATAAGGAGTTCAGAGGGCAGGATGGCACTGTGCCTCTTGTATATCTTAGGAAGCCACCGTGGGTATGATGAGGTCAGTTGGGACAGGCGAGAGCCACAGCCAAGCAACCACAAGTGAAGGCCAACGGACATATAAGGCCAGGGCCAGGGCCCACGAGGAGAGGAGTCAGCCAGGTGTGGTGGAGGAAGAGGAGGAGCAGAGGGGTGAGAGATCCTGGAGGACGAAGTGGCGGGCAGCCAAAGGGAAGGGTGGCAGCACAGCCTGGTGCCTCAGTGTCGGTGCTGCTGGGCAGGTAAGTGAGATGAGCTCCGGAGACGTGGGTTCCATTGCTTTAAACCTCGGGGTCAGGCTTCAGACAAGGAGAAGAGGCAAAGCTGCTGAGGCTGTGAACATCAGAGCTGCAGAAGGAAGCAGCCAGAGGAACGAGAGCCAGGGGAAAGGATGCCTTTTATTGTTTTATTGCTGCAAAGTATCTGTTTGTCCCAGTAGGCAAGAGCCAAACATGTTTAAAAGCCCAGGGCAACACTGAGAGGGGGCCATCAGGGTGGGAGAGAGAGCAAAGGGTCCCTAGATGGGGTTTCATAGTCCAGAAGGGCTGGCAGAGTGGAGGGGCCGATGTCTGGGAGCAGGGATTTGTGTTTTGCAGAGGCTGAGGCAGCTGGTTCCCTGAAGGTCTCTCTTTAATGTGAGGTTAGGAGCAAGGCTCTCTGCGGAGGGTGTGGAGATGCTTATGCATTGTGTGTGTGTGTGTGTGTGTGTGTGTGTGTGTGTGTGTGCAGACACCCACATGCCTTGTAAAGGAAGCAGAGAGGTTGGGCTTTGCTCTGCAGTCAGTGCGAGAGTGAGTTGTTACCTTGCTGGGTGGGTGGAGGTTGGAAATCAGATCTCCAGTGACTTGGTGACCAAGGAGCCACATTCCTAGAAGGGAGGGGTGGCTGGGAGCCTGCAGAAAAGGCAAGTCACAGACAGAGGCCCTGCAGCTGGAGGGTCCTAGAAGGCAACAAAGCCCTTGACACTGAAGCTGGAAAGGGCAGAGGAGAGAGCTGGGACAGGGCAAGGTGGAGCCTGGCTCTTCCACTGCATTCAGTGAGGAGCTGCTGAGGAGTGGAGAAGGCCAGCGCCACATGGGCTGCTGTGCTGCACACTGAGAAGCTGCCCTCTGCAGTGTGACAAGAGACTGGGGCTGGGAGACGCTGGGCTTTGAGCAATGTGCTAGTGAGAGATGGCAGGCCCAGCAAAGGCCTGGGCAGCTGGGTGGGAGCAGCCAGGCAGGGCTGACCCAGAGAGGTCAGAGTGTCCCTGTCACCCCACAGGTGGAGCTCATACACATCCAGGCCACGGCAGGGCAAGGGCAAGGGGCAGGGGCCACCACAGGAGGACTGGAGCTGGGGTCGGGGGAGGCCAAGCGCAGAAGAAGGTTGGATCTCCGGAGCCCACTGAGCTTGCTGGGATTTCCTGAGAAACAGAATAAAGACCTGGCCTTGGGGTTCAGGCTGTGGAACCTCATTGATTATGCCCAGTATCTCTTTATTTAGCCGCTATTTGCACAGCATGAAGCACAGCAGTCTTTCTGCCCACTCTTTCTTCAAACCTTTCCCAGTGTCCATACCTCCCTCCCCACACTTAGTTTTCTGCCCAGGAACCCGTTTGCACGTGAATTGGGGCTCTGTTATTCCAGCTTGCAGCTGGTCTTCAGTTTGGATTATTCCTAATTCTTCTGCAGTATTAGGTTTGTCCTCAAACCTAGCCAGTGGCTTTTTAATTTCTCACAATTTGACACCCTGAGGTTGTGAGGGGGAATGTGGCTTCCACTTGGTGTCAACACAGGTGCTGCTACTCAATCACAGAGTCTAAAGACCCTGCAGAGCCTGAGATGTCGCCGCAGCCCCCAGCCGCCCAAGTGTGCTGCAGACCCCACCCCCATTCCTGCTCTCAGTCACAGCTCAACAGACAGTTGAAGCTCAGGGTCTCGGTTGGCCCCACCTTCCTCATGGTGGCCTTCATCCTGTCTCCACCCAGCCTGCTCTGACACTGGGACAAAAGCTCCTCCACCTCATGGCACTTGACTGCTAGGGACAGGCGGAGACAGGAAGTGAGTGCATGGAGCAATGAAAGATATTGCAACAGAGGAGCATTCCCTCTGCCCAGGCGCTGCTCTGTGCCAGCTTGTGGCTTCTTGCTTCTGCTGACTCTCTCACCAGTCCCCGTCTTGCCACCGGCCGCTCTAGTGCTGGGGTCCTGCTTCGCACAACCTTCTCTGTTCTCTCCCTCAGAGCTGCTTTTGTTCCCATCTGGCCCTCATCCCGGCAGCTCCCCCTGCCTAAAGCTCTCCTCTGCTTTTCCTTTGCACCTTGTGTATTGGTCAGCTTTACTTTGCTATGATAAAATGCCCGAGAAAAACAATTTAAAGGAGGAAAGGTTTACTTGGCTCATGGTTTCAGAGGTTTCAGTCTGAATGTCACTGGCTGCAAGGCTTTTAGAATGAAGGCAAGGTAGAACCTCATGCCAGCGACAGTATGTGAAAGAGGAGGCTGCTCATCTCATGGCAGCCAGGAAGCAGGGAGAGGGAAGACAGTCCAGGGAATAATATACCCTTCAAAACCGTGCTCCAAGGGCTCACCTCCTCCAACAAGGGCTCTTCTCTGGAAGTGTCCACCACCAGCCAAAAGCATCACTAGCTCAGGCCAAGTTTTCACTATGTGAGCTTCGGGGAACATTCTAGACCCAGTGTGTCACATCTTGTTAGCTTTTTCAAATCTGTCAGTTCTCACATCCTCCAGAAGCCTTTCTTGTGGTGGAGCAGGTATGCCCAAGGTTCCTTCTTGCCTGTCATGTCTACTCTTCAGACCTAGTGGTATCAGCTAGTTAACTGCCCATCTTTGCAACAGCTCCTCAGGGCCAGGACGCTGCTCTCTGTCCCCCACTCACACAGAGCCTAACCTGGGGCCTTGCATGTGCGCTTGTGTCAACGCAGAGCCCTGCATGCTTGTGCTGTACATTCCGAGAGCTCAGACTCGAGGCAGATGTGCTCGGCCAGTGGTCCTCTGTGCGGCAACAAAGGTGCAGTCAAATTTCAGGAGAAGGGCAGAAAGAAGAGAGGGCTGAAGTCACAGCTGGAAAGACAGCTAAGGAGGTACCTATTTGAGCAGGTGACAGCTAAGTGGTTTCCAAGAGTGGGAAAGAGAGTTTTCTATGAGCACTGGGAGGGGACGGAGCACCCAGGAAAAGCTTCTTCTGTGAGGTGTGACAGGCAGCAGGTAGGGCTCAAGGGGTGGGCTATAAGCTGTCTGCTCTGCACCTGGGGACCACAGTTATAGGGCAGCTGCTTGCTGCAGGATCCTACTTGGTGACAGACATGAACATACCAGGAAATGCCTGTGGCCGAGACAGGAAGTCAGGGTGAGGAAATGATCCAACCTGCACAAAAGGGGTGAAGAATATTTAGAGGGTGAGAGATCACTTCCAGCACAAGGATTGGGATTTTGCAAACTACTTTCACTCTCTTAATCTCACTAAACAGACCCAGGAAGCGGCAACAGCAAAGATCATGAAATCGAGCTCTGAGACCCGACTCTGAATCCCAGACAGCGCACACACTAACTTCCGACCTGGGGTAAGTTACACATCATGCCCTCTTGGAGGTCTGCACAACCAACACAGTGGTGATACAGGAATGACAACACCTACTTTGTGGGGTGACTGAGGGTTCAAATGAGGTTCCACTAGAGAGCTTTCATTAGCCACTGAAAGGAATGCAAAAGGGTCCCTGCCTGGATCTCAGCTCACCTCTCTTCCATGGTTCTTTCTTGCAGACTTATTGTTTCCAAATGGCCTTTCCCTTTTATCATCTCCTCCTTTTTGTTGGCCTCTGGGCTCCCATCTACTGTGAGCCCCCATGCAGCACCCCTAGCAGAGGCTCTCCATACCCTCCCTCTACCAAGAGCAGCCACGGCTCCCGGGCGTCTTCCAGCAGCAACGACTTCGCCTTCCGCCTGTACCGGAGACTGGTTCTGCAGCACCCGAGTCAGAACATCTTCTTCTCCCCTGTGAGCATCTCTACCTCCCTGGCCATGTTGTCCCTAGGGGCCCACTCAGCCACCAAGGCTCAGATCCTCAGGACCCTGGGCTTCAACCTCACAGCCACACCAGAATCTGCAATCCACCATGGTTTCCAGCAGCTGGTCCATACACTCAGAGTCCCCAACAAAGAACTGGACTTGAGAATGGGCAGCTCCCTCTTTGTCAGAAAAGGACTACAGCTACAGGCAAGTTTCTTAGACAGAGCCAAGAGGCTGTATGAGTCGAAGGTCTTTTCTGTCGATTTCTCCAACACCTTCACTGTCCAGAGGATCAACAGCTATGTGGAGAAGGAGACCAAAGGGAAGGTGATGAATTTAATTCAAGACCTCGACCCCCTGACAGTCATGGTCCTGGTGAACCACATTTTCTTTAAAGGTAAGGATCTGATTTTTGTTCTGTTTGTCTGCTTAGTCAAATTTGCAAGCCAGACAAGTCCTAGATTGACCATAGGGTGGAGTTGTGGGAGGCCCTGAATTCTACTCAGCCTAGCCACCAGCTGACTGGAAGACATTGCATGTTTTGTGCACTCTCTGCTAGCATCATTTATCGACTAGGATGGGGGCCCAGTCTTTCGATAGACAGATTTGGTGACCTGAGGGGCTGGCCTGGGCAGACAGCCCCCAGGAAACATCTTCTAGAAACTAGCTTGGGAGAAAGGGTCTTCTCTCCTGTGACCAGCAACAGCCACTTGAAGGTTTTAGAGCAGTGACACGGAGCTCTCTGACAAGCCGTGACTGACATTTTGCTATTTGTTTTCTATGATATGAATGTCTTTTTTTGTTCCTAATTTTCTTCATTCCATCTTTTGTTTTGAAATATTATGTAATGTGCCATCTTAATTCTCTTATCTTTTATTCAAAAATTTGGGGTTATTTTCTTAGTGTTTGCCTTAGGGATTACATTTAACATGTTAATTTATAATAATCTAGTTTGAATTAAGACTAATAGTCATTTCAATAGCTGCATTCTTTCTCATCTGTCTTATGCTACTCTCATGAGTTATAACTTCACGATCCATGTGCTCATCCACATAGATTCATCATCATTGCTCTGAGTTGTCTTTTAAATCAGAGAAAGTACACAAACAAAAGTACTTTATGCTACATTTTGTGTTCAGCTACATAATTTTCTTTACTGGTGCCCTTTATTTCTTTCTATAGACTCAATATATTGTCTAGTCCCCTCATTTCAGCCCAATGGACTTTCTTTAGTCTTTCTTGTCAGCTAGATCTGCTAACAACAAATTCTCTCAATTTTTGTTTGTCAGGAACTATTCATTTCTCTTTTGTTTTTTGGAAGATAGCTTTGCCAAATGCAGATGTGCTGTTGGTAGAGTGATCTGTTTTATCTTTGCACTTTGAATACGTTATCCACTTTCCTTCTGGTTCCTCTGTGCTATGGTTTGAGTCTTGTTCCCCAAAAGCCATATATTGAAGACTTGGTCTCTAGCTTGTGCAGCTATGGGGTGGTGGTGGAACCTTTAGGACAGTATTGGGACTGTAATGCCTTTGAAAGGACCACATAGCTCTCAGTCTTTCTTCTTTCTAACTGCCATGAAGTGAGCAACTTTGCTCTACTAAATGCTCCCTGCCACGCTAGACTTGCTCACCACAGGCCCAAAGGCAGTACAACCAAATGACCATGGACTGAAGCCTCTGAAACTATAAGCCAAATTAGATCTCCTCCTTTTAAAATGCTTATCTCAGATTTTTTTGTCACAGTGACCAAAAGCAGACTAATCACAGTTTCTGCTAAGAAATCATCTATTATTTTCATTGAGGATATCTTGCATGTGCTAAGTTGGTTGCCATGATTCTTTCTTTGCTTTTGACTGATATGCTGTATCTACATATGGATCTCTTTGAGCAGAGGCTACTTGGAAATTGTTGAGTGTTTTGAAAGTGTACAGTAATGATTTTCATCAAAACTGGGAGGTTTTTCATGAAAAAATAAAACAAAATTTCATAACAATCGAATGACAATACTTAATACGCTATATATCATTATCTTCAAAGTGGATAGTGTATAAGACATAGACAAAAAAGAAACAGATAAAGGCACAAAACTTACTCTTCAGGGCAGTTTTTTTGAATAGTCTCATGTGTATATCTTTAATGTCTGATAGTGTCTGAGGTCTCAGTGTGTCTGAGGTAGCATTCATTTTTCTCTATCCCTTTTCTCTGTGTTCCTCATGCTGTGTAATCTATACTACTAGTCATTTGCCTCTGCCAGTTCTAATCTCCCAAGAATTTTTCACTTCAATTGTTGTACTTTTCAACTCTAGAATTTTCACCTGGCACTTAAAAACTAATTTTCTTGCTATTATTTGGCATGTCATCGTTGTCATACCTTCCTTTACATACTTGAATATCTTGATTTCCCTTAGCTCTTTGAATAAACTTTAAAGAATTTGACAAAGAGGGCCACCATCTGGACTTTATCAAGAACAATTTTTATCATTTCCCCCCATGTATGGGAAGTACTTTCTTGTTTTAGTTCACATCTCATTTTATAAGCTAGATATCTTAAATAATGTAATGCAGCAACTCTGGAAGTAAGTTTATTTCTCTCCCAAGGGTTGTTGTTGCTGCTGTTTATTGTAATAATTGGTGATTCGTTTGTTTTTGTTTTTGTTTTTTGCATCGGTGGAGTTTGGAAGCAGATCAGATACAACTTCACAAGTAATGTTTTCTGGGCTAGCACAAAATTGACAATTCTTTAGGAATGAGATTTTTCCAGCTGTATCTTTTCCCTCTAGTGGCTCCCAGGCTGCTGGATTTCACTGTAAGCGTGGGGTATTATTTTTCAAAGTCACTGCAGAGTTGGAGAAGGAGGTGTGGTACTAAGACAAGTTAAAATATTATGAAATATTGCTGCTGTTTATTGTAATAATTGGTGATTCGTTTGTTTAGCGATTTTTCTGAAATAATTCTTTAAAGCCTGGGCTTTCTCATACGTGACTGCTAAAGTTCTTTCTTGGTTAGTTACATAATAAGTTAGGATAGGACAGAGATTTTTTTAAAATGCCCCATAAAATAATCTCCCAATCTTTGCTGAGGGTCTCTGTGTACATGATGGAGCTTGCAATCAGCATTCAGCTGAGGAGTCTACAATGGTCTTCAGCTCTCACCTTCTGACTGTGAAAACTGAGATCAGCTGAAGGTGAGAGCACACAGCCTTCTGTAAGAGTTAAAGATTATGCACAGGGCTTTACACATTTATGTGACCTCACTGTGGGCTGAGAATATGTTAGAACTTTAAAAAGCTTCTGTGAAGCTTCTATTCCTTAGCCTTTTATTAAAATTCTTTGGTCTATTGTGTGTCTTATCTGTTATCCATCAGCCAGGCAGACTTGAACTTAGAACACTCGCCTAGAATTGTGTTTGACAAATATTTCCATATTCCCCAGTAGAAAGCTCCAATCAAATGCACGAGCGTGTCTTTTAGGGAACCATCAGACCGGTTCAGTAACAATAACTTTTTTGTAATAAAGCTTTGAAAGTTCTTAGTATCAGAAACACAGGTTACTATTTTTTCAAGGCTACTTCTTCCCTGAGGAAGGAAGAAAGGGACTGGTACCAGCTAAAAATGCCATAAAGGCAGCTGTTCTCATCAAGATTCTGTCATTTATCCTTGAGTAAACTCTCCCCTGTTTGCTGCAAGTCTTTGGTTAATTTCAAGAGCACTAAGAATGTTGATTCTGAGCATTTTTTCTAGTTATACTAAAGGAAGAGTGAATATATTAGGGTCCTTACACTACCATTTTTGCTTATGTGGTTATACCTTCTACCCCATCTGTCCTCTTGAGCTCTTTGGTTAGTGCATTGTTTGCTCCACTTGTTATTTTCGGCCGGACACAGCTGCAAAATTTATCACTGCCTATAACTGTTACAGAAAATACTTTCTGAGGGTAATGTGGTTTTTTTGTTTGTTTGTTTGTTTTTGTTTTTGTTTTTTGCATCGGTGGAGTTTGGAAGCAGATCAGATACAACTTCACAAGTAATGTTTTCTGGGCTAGCACAAATTTTGTTTTTTTTCGGCACAGAGGGAGTCTGGAAGCAGATCAGATACAACTTCACAAGTAATGTTTTCTGGGCTAGCACAAAATTGACAATTCTTTAGGAATGAGATTTTTCCAGCTGTATCTTTTCCCTCTAGTGGCTCCCAGGCTGCTGGATTTCACTGTAAGCGTGGGGTATTATTTTTCAAAGTCACTGCAGAGTTGGAGAAGGAGGTGTGGTACTAAGACAAGTTAAAATAGTATGAAATGTACTGTCCTTGCCAGAATTCAGCTATTTTTCTTCAGCCATTTGCTCCCTAGTTAGCTGTAAGAATTTGGTCCATTTTCAGGTTTCTAAAAAAAGTGACACTGACCCTTGTTAGCAGTTTATTCATTGCTTTTGTGGAGAATGAGTTCTCAGAGGTCCTTGTCTCCCCCCTTTCTGACTTCCCCTCACTAACTGCACTTATTCATAATGGCCTTTCTCTTCTCTGTACTAGGCAAGTGGATGAAGCCCTTTAACCCCGCAGATACTCACAAAAGCTACCCATTTCGGGTGAACAAGCAGACCACTGTGCACATCCCCATGATGCAACAGATGGAAAAGTTTGCTTTCGGAGTGGATCCAAAGCTGAACTGCTCTGTGCTGCAGATGGACTACAAGGGAGAAGCCATGGCCCTCTTTGTCCTTCCCGGGGAGGGCAAGATGAGGCAGCTGGAACAGGAGTTGTCAACCAGGACTCTGAGAAGGTGGATCCGCTCCCTCCAGAAGAGGTAGGCATTTGTGTCAGTCGATGGGACTTGAACCACGTGACGGGGGCACAGCCAAGGATGGAGGGGGGATTATGGTAAAGCACTGTTAAGCGATCAGTCCTACGAATCGAGCACCAGCTGCCTGCTGCTCAGTGAGCTTGGTACTGTGCAGGGCATGTTCACATCTGAATGCCACCATCACCTGGGAAGTGAGGGCTGTCATCACGGCCCCTCACCCCACACGTCACTTCACAGGTAAGGAAAGCGTGGTTCCATGAGGGGTGAGAGAATTGCCCCAGTCATATCACCTCAGAGCTCTCCTGCCACTGTAGCTGTCATTGTGCCAGCAGGGTACACTCTAGAAGCCAATCTGGTATTGACCTACGTGGAATCATTTTGTAAAAGCAATCAGACAAACTGTAAAAGCATTGGTCCTCACCTTTAAAATCAGGATAATAATACTACTGAATGGGATGGGTGATTGAAAAGATAAAATGTTACTACTTTTAAAGTGCTTAAATGGGGAGAGTAGGCAGTCAGTAAATGTTAGCGAAATGTACTATTATTAGTTCTGTAATTATCAGGGAGGGCACAAAGTAGTACTAACTACATGATGTAAAGAAACATCAAAGTCTTATTTTCAGTCTCTGAGCAATATTTTCTTGGCAGCAACAGCATGACACCAAGGTGTTGGTAGCCCAGGAAGAGAAAAGATAAGATTGAGAATAACTGCCATTAATGATGACAGTGACCACTGTCCGAGGGAAAGGCAGGAAAAGTGTGGAGGAGCAGAGGAAGAACATGTTCAGCTGAGACTGTGGGAGGCTTCAAGGAGGAGACGATAGCATCTGAATTAATTTCAAGTAGCTCAGTTATTAACTTAAGTGTGGGTGGAGCATGAACACAGAGAGGTCGGAAGGGCATGTTTGGCAAAGGAAACCCACAGGCAAAGATGTGCAGCCGGGGACCCACAGGTACCACCGGCCATTTGAGCAGTTTCTTCTCATCTCAGACTGCACAGGGCTGGGGCCAGGGAGGGGAGGAGACAGGGGCTGCAGGGGGAGGAAGCACAGAGCAGCGGGGAAGCCCAGAGAGGATGGAGATGCCCAGGCCAGCACAGGGGCCAACGTGGACGGGAGGGAGCTATCCATGGTGTCAGGAGAGGCTTTTCCACAAGGACTGAAAGGTGTTTCTGGGACACTTTTGTGCTTTCACTTTTGAACCACGACTAAGCTCTCCCATCGGTAAATGGAGGAAACTCCTGGTGAGCACACCTGAGACGGAGTCTGGGATGTAGCGAATGCTCAGTACATGTAGGCGGTTTGCTTGTGGTTCAGGGACACTGGCACAGAGGAAGAAAATAACATGCCAAATTTTAAGGTCATGCTGTCTAACATTGTGGCCGCCGTTGTGTGTAGCTATTCAAGCTCCAGTGGAGTCAACTTCAAAGTTTATCTCTTGTGCTGGCATTGCTTCAGCTTGCTTGGTTGTCGAACGTGGCTGGTGGCTGCCATACTGGGCAGTGCAGGATAGGAATATTGCCAGCTTTGCAGGCTTCCACTGGACTTGGCTCCTCTAGGGATTATCAGGGCTCAAGAAGGGCCACTGGGGCAGCCTCCAGCAGCGGGTTTAAATGAAACCCCATCACCCTCTGACGCCTTCCACTGGTCTCCGCCTTAGGTACCCCTGCTGGGCCACCTCACTTCTGCCCTATTTCATTATGGAACCCATTGGTCTTCTTGGTGCTTTGGTGCTGGGCCTTCTTAGCTGTGGGTGGGCTGGGATATGTGAACCCCTTTAGCAGCAACGAACAGTGCCGGGAGGAAGAGCAGATGCTACCTAGAAGGAGAGGTGGACTCGTATGTACCAGGGGCTACAACCTCACCTTTTGCTTCTCCCTTCTCCACAGGCAGATCGAGGTCTTCATCCCCAAATTTTCCATTTCTGCCTCCTATGACCTGGAAACCGTCCTTCCAAAGATGGGCATCTGTGATGCCTTTGGCAAAAATGCTGATTTTTCTGGGATTACAAAGACAGGCTTTCTGCAAGTTTCCAAAGTGAGTTGATGGGGGAGAGAGTTTGTAGAAAGCCCGTGCTGGAAACACCCATAGAATTGGCTGGTGGAGAATGGAGGGCTCTCATTTTGCTGGCATGGAAACAGAGGCCCATGAAGAGGAAACATTTCTTCATGGCCTGCAGAAAGGTCCCACAGCTGCCGGGCCTGTGGCTCTACGGCCACCACACCTTCTACCTAAGGCACCTTTCACCCTCCTTCAGGCACACATTCTCAAGGCCCAACTCTGGCTTTGCCTTAGGCGTTTGACTTCACTTCCTTCCTTCCTACAGTTTCAGTCCCCACAGGCACCAAGGGGCTGCCTTGACCATGGTAGAGATGGTGTTTGGTCTACAGAGCTGAGAAGGAGGGAGGGAGGGTGGGAGAAAGAGTGAGGTGAGGAAGGGGAGGGAGAGAGGGAGAGGGAGAGGGAGAGGGGGGATATCACTGTGTTCATCTTCCCAAGGCAATAGTGAACCCATCATCTCTGGGGTTACTTGACTTACCCCCATTCACACACAGCCTTCTGAACCTTGACCTAATTTGATAATGGACTATAATGGTCAGTGGTAGTCTGGGGGCCACTGAAAGAAACTTTCTCCATTGGTCCCCAGGGAAGGAATGCAAAAAAAAGTTCCCACTGAAATCAAATGAGGAAAACGAACATTTTCCCACAGGAAAAATTTATGTGCCCCTATGGAAAATCATGCCTGTGGTCAGAGAAAGCCCCTGAAGCTCAGGAGCACATGAGTCCCAGGTCAAGAACCTCCTCCCTAGAAGACAAGAAGGCACCAGCCTTTGTATACCCAGCCCAGGTAACAGTGTCACCATGGGAGCCACTGGTGTTTGTTTTTCTCTTATCAGGCTACTCACAAGGCTGTGCTGGACATCGGTGAGGAGGGGACGGAGGCTGTAGCAGCCACTGCCACCAAGCTCATAGTCCGGTCCAAGGATAAGCCATTTTCTCCTGCCTTACACTTCGACAAGCCCTTCCTGATGATGCTCCTGGATAAAGGCACAAAGTCTACTCTCTTCATTGGGAAAGTTGAGAATCCCACTAAAGCCTAGGTGGGACCTGACCTGTTGACTGATTATACGCTAATAAAGATGCACAGGGAATAACCAGCAGCACTGCCTGCACTCCCAGGGTGATGCTGAGGTCTATCTCCTCCTGGTTTAAGGGTCCACCTCACCCCAGAAAAGCTGTTTTTGTGGTGGGGATGCATTTTCCAAGGCAAAGCATCAGACTGACAACAGAGGCCCCGGGCCTGAGCCCAAGCCCAGGAACCCGGGCAGTGGCCCTTTCCATCAGCTCTCCACCAGCTTTGGAGGAGTGTGGCTGGGCTGACTAGCTCCATTCCTCAGAGCCCCGGAAGGATGCTGTTCAGACCAGGAGCCTCTATTGCAGAACTACAGTAGCACAGTCAGAAACCGCAAATGTGACTTTAGCCACAACAGGGCTCCCTGGTACCTGCAGGGTCCTGATCTGATTGATGCCACCCTAGAACATTCAGCAGCTGTGTGAATTCATTCTTCGTCTGTTAAACAACAACGTACTAAGCATTTACTGTTTGTTAGGAGAGAATCAGATGAATGAGGTCCCCGGATTGTTGGACCTTAATGGAGAAGACGGGTCACCCGAGAATAACAGAATGAAAGCCACACATGATGGGATCTCAGCAGATTCGAGTCGTGGCTTGAACATATCTCACAGGATGTGAGGAGGGGTCACGAGAGGGCAGGGCAGTGTTGTGTGAGCACAGAGGCAGTGAGCCAGGACCAAGCGGAGGTGTCAGAGGGGGTAGAGGGAAGATCCTTTGCCTGGAGCATCCTGTGTCACACACACAATGGCAGAAGCTAGGACACAGAGTATAAGGAGGTAGAATCATGTGGGGAGGGTGTAGTGGCCAACAAAAGTGGTCTGGGCTGGGGCGGGGGGAGCAGAAGGCCAGCTGGACTCCTCGGGCAGGAAAATGACAAGGGCCTGAGGAAGGGCTGTGCCAGTCTTCTTGTGCTGGCTGCCTTCCTGACACTGTCACACCTGCACACAGCCCTCTGGGGGCTCAGCTCCTCCCTGCTGGCTTGCAGTAACAACAGTCTGGCTCCCTTTTGTGTGTCCTGAGAGCCACAGTCAGTGCCGTAGGTTATGGTGGGTGATCCCTAGGCAGAGAGGCAGCTTATGCTCTTTGAGTCATCTTCACCATTCCTCCTGACCCCTCTGCTAGGTGGCCATATCACCTCTCACTGGAGGGTGGGTACCCAGGCACCCAAAGGCCCAGAAATGCCTTTCCCAGGGGTGCCGATGTGCCCCCCCAGTGTGCCATCTGCAGTGCTTTCACATGGAAAGGACTAGAGCGCAAGGGGTCATGCTGGGGAGCTGGCAGAAACTTCAGAGGAGCCGAGTCCACAAACACACACACACACACACACACACACACACACACACACACACCTAACTCTGGTCCATAAAGAGCCCATCAGGGACCCCAAGTCAGAAAACTGGTCCAGGCTGTGGGATGGCTGGGGCAGGATTAGAAGCAGGAGCAGAGCCCAGAATGGGAGGCTGCAGCCCCAACTGAGCTTCCTCCCTGAGGGTCACGGTGGAGGAAGAGCCATCCTCCCTCTTGGGAGCACAGTGGGCCACACAAGGCTCCATGCTCAGTGGAACAAAGGAAATAATGGGCATGAAGAACTGGCTGGGGACACCTGGGTTGTTCAGAGTGGATCCTTTGTAGTAACACCCGGAATCCCCGGGGTTGGAGAGGCCACCACCTCCCCCAACCTTCTTACAGGTGACATCACAGCTGCAGGCAGGTGCTACTCTTTCGGCCATGCGTCAGTCAGCAGGTGCAGACTGGTTCCCTTGCGGGGGAGGCTCTGTTTGCTGTTTTTTGAGATGCTTCTTTTGATCTGTTTTCAAATGTAGCTCATCTTCATTTTGAAATCTGTTGTAATTGAGTGCATTAGGATGTCAGCCAGAGTCAAATGCTTTTGGAGAAACATTTGTCCCTTGGATTACCCAAGAGGAGGAAGTAGATCACCCCACACAGGGCCCCTTGGGAGCCCCAGGTTGTTCAGGAGGAAGAGGGCCAGGGGTAGGTGTGGGCATGAGCCTCTGGGACCTTAAGCGGTGGGAGGGAAGGAGTGGGATCGCCCCCTACAGGGTGGAGAGCGAAACTGAGCTTGGGGCTTGTGGTTTGAGGGATTATAAAAAGGCTCTCTTCACTTTGTTAATTTCTTTTGCTGTGTAAAGCTGTTTAATTTGATGTTGTTGATTCTTTGTAATATTTCCTGTGCAATCAGAATTTTTTTCATAAAGTCTTTGCCTATACTTATGTCTTCTAGAGTTTTACCTATTCTATACTCCAGCAGATTGTTTCTGTTTTAATATTTAGATCTTTGATCCATTTCAATTTTAGTTTAGGGCATGGTGGGGAAAATGTTTACCAGCTGTTCCTCAGACAAAGGATTAATATCTATAATATATGAAAAACTAAATATATGAAAACTATAATATATGAAGAACTAAAAAAATCATACCCTCCAAATTTAAAACCCTAATCTAGAAATGAGCAACTGAAATAAATAGATGCTTCTCAGATACAGTACAAACAGCAAATAAGTATATGAAAAGTATGTTCAACATCACTGGTCACTTGAAAAATGCAAATTAAAACATCACTGAGATTCTGTCTCACTCTAGAAAGAATGGTTATCATAAAGAAATCAACCAATAGCCAACACTGGAGAGGCTGTAGAGAAAAAGGAGGTCTTCTCCATTATTGGTGGGAGTGTAAACTGGTAAAACCAATATGGTAATCAGTATGATCATCCATTACAAAACTAAAACTAGAGGTTCCATTTGACCCAGATATTCCTCTTCTAGGTATCTTCCTGAAACAGTTAAAAGCATCATACCACAGTGATCCATGCACATGCATGTTTATAGCAGCATGATTTATAATAGCTAAATCTTGGAAACAGCCCATGCATCCACCAACAGATGAACTGATAAAGAAAATGTGACATTATGTGCAACTCTACCATAAAGGATAAACTTCAGGTGTTTTTAGGCAAATGGATGCATCTTGAAACCACAGTTTTAAGTGAAATAAGTCAGAAACACAAGTTTAAATATCACATTGTTTCTCTTGTCTGAGAAACCCAAAGGATAAATAAGGAGCAAAATGGAGGATAGATATTGGGAAATAGGAAGAACTTGCTCAATTGAGAAAGGAACAAGGCAGGGGGGAAGGGAAACAGAAAAGAGATTAAAAAGAGAATGAAGGGCCAGGATTTAGCTCAGTGGTGCTGCTGCTTGCCTCAAAAGCACAAGGTCCCAAGTTTGATTCGTGGTACAAAAAAAAGAGAATAAAAGTAAAAATTAGAAACAAAGCTTTCATAAATGGAGAGAGGAAGAAGGGGTGAAGGGAGGGGAGAGAAATGGGAAAAAAAGAAAAAGTAAGCTATATTATGAAAGATATTTTGCACAGATACAAAATCCCTGTGATGAATATGATCATTATATATTGACAACTATACTAATAAAAATAAAATTAAACAAAAATTTAAAAACAGAAATACGGAGCAGGGCCTGAGGCTCTCTTAAGGGTATGGTAGTGCATGCCTGTAATCCCAGGGAAACTGAGGTAGGAGGGATATAAATTCTCAAATGAGTGAGATCTTGCCTCCAAATAAAAAAGGGCTAGGGATGTAGCTTAGTGAGAAGAGCCCATCACTTGTGGGGTGGAGAGAGAGAGAGAGAGAGAGAGAGAGAGAGAGAACGCAGTAGCTGTTTAGCCCATGACTTCAAGATGCCAAATCATCAGCGTAGGATATTAAGAATGATCATCACAGCACAGTATGAGTGTCTCACTCAGGCAGAAGGGCAATGTTCAAAAGGTGGATTCACCGCACCTGGTGAGAGCCAGGTGATAAGGCCTCCAAAGGACGTTCATACAAACAAATACACAAAAACAGGCCCAGAGTACTGAGTTCAGGGCAGCCGGCTCTGGGCTGTGCACAAAGTCAGAGGCACCCGGGCAGTGTTTCCAGCCTTATCTTCAGCTGCTGTCTCTGGAGAGTATTTTTCAAACACCAAGGAGCCCTGCAGTCACCAGCTCCAAGGCTGTTGAGGAACCACCCTGGAATGTAAACAGAAGCAGCCAGGTCCCTTCATGTCCCTGTAGGAGTGTTTCAGGGTGCATCCCAGACACTGTGGGCTGATCGCCCCCGGCACCAGATGCGTGGATTTTCTGGGTGGCTGTGAGTTCTCCACTTGACCTTCCACAGCCCAGCTAATCTGTCTGCAGGTGTTTAATTGAACTGAGCACTTGGTATGGACCAGAGTCAGCACAGAGGCTGGGGTTCATCTACACAGCTCATCCTGCCTGGCGGAGTTTGGGACCTGGAGATATCACAAGGGTGATCACTAAGTTCCAGCACAAGAAGCTGAAGATACTACGTGGTTCAAAATCATCATCTGGGTATCAGCACTGAGAGGCCCCCAAGGGCAGTGCAGTCGCCCCAACTCTGTCCCTGCCCCACAGGGCACAGGTACAAGCAAGGGTGTGTGACATCAAGGACCTCACACGCAAGACAGTTACACAGCGTGGGACAAGGGACAACAGCACTAAACTCAGGAAGGAGGACTTCAAAAGGTCTCCAGCACCAGACCCCAGCTTGGGAACCCAGCCTTATTGCTGCCAAACTGTGCAACCTCATGGACTTTGCATAATCTCCGTCTGCTTCACTTCCCTCCTCTGAAAACCTGTAGCTCCGGTGTCATGAGGCTGTCACGTGAGTGACACAGACAGCAGTGCTTAGGAAATCACTAATCATCAGGGCCCAGGGACTGTTACCCACGTACTCTGCTGTCACCGTAACCCATATCAGGGCAAGTTGTAGATCAAAGATGTTCCTGTCGAGCTCATTTACAGGGAGGTGGAAGCAAGAACCAGGCATCTGCCTGGAAGGCTGTCCCACCATTGCCTCCTCCGTCCCCTGAAGCATCCCTCACGCTGTGTGGCCGACATCCTCACAGCTCAGAACTACAGGCCAGGGGTCCCTTTTCGGTCCCTGGTGTGTGGCCAATCTCTGGTGACAAAACACCCCTGCCACAACCAAGAGGGTCCCGTGGCAAATGGCTCCAGAGTCCAGCTTGCCAATGAAACCCGGCAAGGTACATTTATTAGCTGAAACCAAAAGTAAAATCTGTAACAAAACTAAAAAAGAAAAAGAAAAGTTGTGTAAGAAAGGATGTCTATGTTGCCATTCTTGCCAATAATATAATTACTAAAGGCTACAGAAAGCATTTAAAGACTTTTCAAAAGCCTTTGAGTTTGCTACTGGCTGTTTAGTGTGGGATCTCTCAGCAAAGATAGGAAGTCACCAGCCAGGGAGCTCTGGGCTAGGGGCAGTGCTGTGGTGCCAGGCAGGCATGACATGGTCTCTCCAGGCGTGCGACCGTGAGGAGTCACAGACCCTCTCTACGACTGGTTCCTCGCGCCGTAACAGTGCCCGCCTCATGTGGTGGTGGTGAAGATGGACCCCATACTGTGAAGCGAGGGTGTGGCAGGGTGCCCACTCTGGGAAGTGACTCTGCTCAGCACAGGGGGTCACTGCTGCTGCCCAGCACCACAGAAGCATCTGGGCAAGGGTAGGACAGGAAGCCACACCTCCGTGTCAGCACCTGCTCTCCAGGTGGCCCCTGTATAGTGGCAGAGCGGTGCTCCTTGGTGGGAATGGAGGTTTGTCTCCCTACGGAGAACACAGGGGAGGAGAGTGTACTTGTGCTGGGTGTTGGTGGGCCCTGCTGTGAGCTGGCACCACACATAATCACAGATTATGCCCGGCTTATTTCAACAAAGATTTTACAGACAGGAAAGAAATGAAACAGAGATTTAGCAAGCCAGCCTGGTGAGAGAGAGGTGAGCAGCAGGTATGGTGGGGGCTCCCGGGAGGAGAACCCAACCAGGCTGAGGTGGAAAGGGAGAGGGGCTGTCAGGAAAGTCTTCCTCAAGGAGAGCTCTGAGTGGGACCCTGAAGAGTGGGCAGGAGCTGGTGTTGCCTGAGAAAGAGGAGGCCGGGGGCAGGGCAGAGGGACAAGAGAGCGCCAAGGAGAAGCAGGGTGCGCTGCTTCTCAAAGCTACTCAGGCTGGCTGAAGTGCAAAGCTCCAAGGAGTGGCCGGTGAAATGCTGGGTGGGTAGGTGGGCCAGGCACCAGAGGGCATCCTGGAAGTGCTGTAGAAGGGGTGGGCCTCCCTGAAGGCCTGAGGCTGAGGACAAAGAGATTTCAGAGTGCAGAGTAAATGGGCAGTGCCTGGGCTACAACCAGGGGACCAGGAGGAGGCCGATGGCACAGGCCAGGGGGCAGATGGTGGAGGAGACAGGGGTTGGTGAGAGGCCAGGGCCAGAGAGGGCACTGGAGAAAGGAAAGCAGGGGAGGCCCTGGCAGCAGGTAGGGAGGTGTGGTTCCCCCGCAGGAGGCTGGGCCCACTGTCCCAGAAAATACTGAGGTGGCAGCTGGGGACGAGGCCCAGGGCAGTGGAGCCTGGCCAGCAGCACTCAGAGCAGCCATCCACTCTGGGCAGAGGGGCACGAGTTGCAGGGAGATTCTGTGTGGAGGTGAGATGGTTCACTGGGCACCTCAGAGTTCTCCAATGGCATCGGCTGCGGGGGGAGTTCAAACCTCAGAGAACAGTACACAGCCAGCAGGCTGCTGAGCGTGTCGGGTGCCCACTGCACACATACGGTGGCTGGCTCCAGAGCAACCTACAAAACAGACGGATTCCCCCTTCCAGATGAGGAGGCTGAACAGGTCGCTTAGGTAGTGACACAGGAAGGGGCTGAGGTCCCCCTCAAGGGGGCCGCCTGGAGAGGACGTTGAGCCCCAAGTGCCTCCCACGAGCCCCAGGTGAGGGTATGGTGGGAGCCTCTCTGCACAAGGGGTAGGAGGGCCTGGCCGGGTGACATTGGCTCGCAGTCTCAGCTCTCACCCTTCCCCTCTGGCGTCTCCCCAAGTGCTGCACTGGGACAGGGAAAGGGCTTTTCCCGAACATCCACATTCTCAGCTTCCCGCTCTGTGCTCCTTTCCCACTCTGCACCCGCTCCTCACTGTGGATGAAACCTCCTGGTCGCCTCCATTCACGTGGAGTCACTGCTGCCCTCTGCCCAGGACCTGTGGCAAACGGCTCCATTTCTGGGATAACCTGGGGAACTTGCAGCACGGTCTTGCTAAGAAGCCAGTATCACCCCTGCTCTGGGATGGAAGCAGTTCCGCATGGATTAGCTCCATCTACCCCAAGTGCAGACAGGCAGAGGGTCCCCAGCGCCCCCTGCCTGCCACCTTCCTTCAGCAGAAGGAGTCCAGAACAGCATAGCCCCTTCCCCAACCCAGACTGCACCCGGGTGAGCAAAACGGTCTGTCCTTGTCCCCAGGGACACCGGCCTGCATGAGGCCAGCTAAAGCACAGTTGCGGCATGTGCCCCTTATCCTGACTATTCCAAAGCCCCATGTCCCTCTCGGTGCTCCTGTCACCCCATAGTTCCAAGGATGCTTCCCAGGACCTGAGCCCCCACTGTCTCTCTGTAGGCACCATCATTCACCCACACAGCAGGCCAGCGTGGGGCCGCTCAGGTGTACAGGACAGGTGTACAGGAACCAGAACAAAATAAGGACAGGCCGTGCGCTGGTGACAAGAACCGAGCACTGTTTTACCTGTGCACTCCTAACAAAATTTAGTGGCGTAGGGCAGCAATCATGAGTAGCTCTCATGATATTGTGAGTCAAGAATCCAAGTCAAGTTCTGAAGATATCAGCCACTTGGACACTTGGAGGGCAGGGAAGAAAGCACAAAACTGAGAGAATTCTGGATCAGATAAGGGTTTCCACCTGGGAGCTGCTGCCGGACAATCGGGGAGAGTCTGACAAGTACAGACCCACAGGCATCTCATCTCCCCTCCCCCTGCAGAGTCAGGTCCAGTCGCCTGGCCCAAGCTGCTCTATGCTTCATTTATTCATTTAATTATTTGGTACCGGGGATTGAACTCAGGTCCTTGCACTTGCGAAGCAGGCAGCGGAACCACTGAGCTAAATCCCTGGCCTAAGCTGCTCTATGCTTTAAAAGTGCCCCTTGGAGGACTTAGGATGTAGCTCAGTGGTAAAGCACTTGTCCAGCATGTCTGAGGCCTTGGGTTCAATCCCCAGCATCCCCCTTAAAAAAGAAAGAACAGTGGTTCTTTGAGAAGTACATGATTTTACTTCTTGACAATGGAGCTTTATAGTTATGAACAAGAGATGTACACTCTGTAAGGGCTCCGGAGAACACAAAAACCCAAACTGAAAAACTTGGAAGGTAACTCCATCCCACCATCCAGAGATGCTCACAAACACTCATTCAGCTCCTGGCTTCTTTTTAAGTGTCGCAGGACAGGACCCCGCCGGTCCCCCTTCATGGGGAATCTCGACACAGCAGGAGGGGTGATCTCGCTGTGTTTCCTGAGCCTCCTTCCAGCCCTCTTGGCCTCTGTCTCTCTGTCTCCAGGTCTCCGCAGACTATTCCTATTCACAGTGTCAGTAAAGTGTGGGCTTGGACAGGTGTGGGGAGGGGCTTGGCGTCAGATCCACCTTCGCCTCCCCTCTGTGAAGGAGAGACAGCTGCCCCGCTGCTGCATCCTCATCTCCAGGGTGATGATGCCACAAAGCAGTGGACACAGCCAGCAGCCACCGCACCTCACCCTTGCACCTTCACCAGAACATCCTCAGACCCTGAATGACGGGCAGCAGGGAGGGGACAGACACTTTGAAAAAAAAGAAATCCCTTCCCATTTGCTGTGCTGTCTTTGCACCAGTGCCAAGAATCGACCTGACAAATATTGACAGGGCTGCTGTGACCCACAGAGGCCACTGTCCCGAGGGCCAGCGGTGTGTGGGGCTGAGGACCTGGTGGCTCTGTACTACGTGACTGTCCTCCGTGAGTATCTGTGTTGGGCAGCGGGTGGCAGCTGCTTCTCCCTCCAGCTCGTCTGTATGTCCTTCCGTCCGTCCGTCAGTCCATCTTCTCTCTTTCTCTTGATTTAGAGACAGGGATGGGAGGAATGGTCCCCTGGAGGAAAAGAGCGGGAGTTCTTGCCTTGGAGTCTGAAGTTGGAACTTCAGGTGTTCAACAACCTCTTAGGGGAAACTCAGCCTTCCAAGAGGAAATCTAAATATCCCTGGTGAGCCAATGAAAAAAAGAACAAACAACCCAAAGCCAAATGACCCTGTTTCCTGGGAGCTCTGGTCTGTGACCAGGGTCTGCTCAAAGGCCCCTAAATCTTGAACTCAATCTCAGTCCTGCTTCTTACCAGGTGTTCATCCTGACCCTGAGTCTTGGTTTCCCCAAGTATTGAAGAGGGATGAGAATCCCTGTGCCTTAAGGGTCTTGTAAGGATTAAATGAAGCAACCCAAAGCTAGTGTTTCTCCACGGCAGGGCCTCCTGCATGGGTCTGCTCCTGAATACGTGTGACCCTGCTGGGTGTCTTCAGAGCTTTCACGTAGCTGAGTCAATTATTAAGTTGGCACCTTCTCACAGGCGCCTCTTGCCACATTCACGCTGTGTCCAGCGTCCCCAGCACTTTAACAAAGCTTGATAAGTGAGAATGCTATCGTTAATGAATATGGTTCTTGATTTTTTTCTGGAATCTTCCAGGAATAGAAAGTGAATTGGATCTCATCATGCCCAGCCTTGATAGAAAGGGAAGAAAACACCTGTGTCCTCTCTGTGCCAGGGTTTATAGAGTGACTGTTGCATACCTTTAAGAGACCCTGCCCCCAGGAAGCAGGCATCTCATTTGCATTTTTTGAAAAGAGATACTGAGCTTCAAAGACAGTGTCACTCCCCGAAACCCATGCTCTTGTCTATAGCTGAGTCATCTGGGAAACAGACCCTGGGCAGACCTGGGGTCCCCAGGGTGTAGTTGGTGGGAAATGGGCCAAGTTTAATGGGCTCACAAGAGCAACTCAGAAATTATTTCATCACAGTTGCATTTCTCATTGTACCCGGGTCAGAACAAGTTTTAAATGGTTCAGCGTCTTCTGGGTTTTTTGTCAAGGAACTGTCACTAAGCCATCTGCACTGAGTTGTGCAGGAGGGAGGGGTCAACCTCGGGAAAGTGTCCACTGCACTTTAACCAGCAACTGAGTTTCAACATCAGGGGCAAGCAGAGGACACCCGTCCCCTCCTGGCAGCTGGCCTTTGTGGCTGGGCAGCATATGCAGGGCACGGCGAGCCATTTCTAGAGTGTGCTCTGTGCCACACGGTCACACAGCTGTCCCTCATCCAGAGGGCAGTGGTTCCAGCGAAGAGTATGAAAGGTGCTTACCCAGATGCAGTGTTTTCAGGCCGAGCTGGTGACACTGATGGAGGGTGGGCAGTGCGTGGCCACAGTGGAAGGATCGGTTTCAAGGGAAGCAGGAAGACATCCGGGTGTGGAGGGTCCAGGTGACACTATGGCCACTGAGGGGCTTTGGAGGTGTGTGGGGCACCTGAAAAGGAATGGAAGACACAGGTAGGAGAGCAGAGACAGCCGGGTCCACATGGCTCTTTCCCCTCCCTAAAGGAGCCCTGAAGTCAGGGGCCTCCTGGGCCTGCACCACGCTGCCCCCAGAGGTGGCTGGAAGCACTGCAGGCCCATCTTCTAACTCAGGATGCATGGGGTCCTCCTATCAATTTGCAGGGGCAGTCCTGACCCACACTGGGTGGTGCTAGACAACAGATATTTCTGTCTCCAAATTCTGGAAGCTGAAGGTCCAAGATCAAGGTGTGGGCAGAGCTGGTTCCTCCCGAGGCCAAGAGGAAAGTCTGATCCGGATCTGCCTGGGCTTCTCAAACTGTGATCTCTGGCCTTTCTTGGATGGCAAAGTGTCCCTGCTCTGCCTTCACCTTCACTCAGTGTTTTCCATGTGTCTCTGTGTCCAAAGTCCCCCTTCTTACAAGGACACCAGTCACAGTGGACTAAGGGTCTCCTTCAGTGACCTCATCTTAACTAATTACACCTCCAGGGACCCTACTTCCAAGCAAGGTTGTGTTCAGAGGTCCCAGAGGCTGGGGGTTCAGCATGAGTTTGAGGGAGAAAGTTTGACCCGTAACAGACACTTTTTCTAAAGCCCTGCATGGAAGCAGGTAGAACTTTCAGCCAATCCAAGCAAGGTTGTGTTCAGAGGTCCCAGAGGCTGAGGGTTCAGCATGAGTTTGAGGGAGACAGTTTGACCCGTAACAGACACTTTTTCTAAAGCCCTGCATGGAAGCAGGTAGAACTTTCAGCCAGTGCACACTGCAGTATGTGTTATCCCAGGTAACGGTGGCTTGAGGGAGACACAGAGACAGAGTGACCCGTCACCACTCCTCCCAGGACCCATTACTCCTGTGTCTTTCATGTGACCATCACAACCATGATCCAGTTGGTGGAAGACCGGAAGAGAGGTCCTCCTCTTTCCCTTGGGCCTAAGGAGGCTTTGCACATCTCCCTTTTCCTCATAGTGCACGGCCAGGTCTTGGTTCTGGGGAGCCCAGCATCCCTTGCTGTCCAGAACAACTGTTCATAGCATTCTAGGAAGTCAGGAGTCATGTTTCTTTCTTTCCCTATTAGATATCCAGTACTTAGAACACTTCATGGACCAGACAGATCTGTGAAATTATGAATGATTAAACAGACTGGAAAGAAGAAATAAAAAAGAAAAGGGAATGGAGGAAGGGAGGGAGGGAGGAAGGGAGGGCAGGAGGGAGGGAGGGAGGAAGGAAGGAAGGAAGGAAGGAAGGAAGGGAAGGGGAGGAGGGAAGGAAGAAAGGGAGGGGTAAAGGAGAAGAAGAAGGGAAGGGAAGGGGAAACTGGGAGTTAATTTACAGACCAGAGATTTTTACCCAACAAAATCTATCACCACGTGCAGTAGCTAAAGGGCCACAGCTCTGACCAAGCCCTTGGAGGTCCGTGTCCAGAGTCCTAAGCACTCCTCTAGGTCTTCTTTTCTATGGTGGGCCCATGGCATCTCTTGGGATACAGCTGGAGTACTGGGGTCATGGTGTGAGCAACAGGGAAAGACGAAGTCGTTTATGAAAATGACATGTCTGCCATCTTGTTTTCAGAGAATGGGCCCAGCTTGGCTGTGGCTGCTAGGAGCCGGGGTCCTGGCCTCTGTCTGCTGTCAGCCATTTCCTGCGCATGGAGATAAGAGCCACACGGTGCCTCAGTCCCCCAGTCATGCAGAGCCAGCTCATGCCTACCACAAAGTTGCACCCACCATTACCAGCTTTGCTTTGCGTCTGTATAAGCAGCTGGCGGAACACACCCCAGGAAACATTCTCTTCTCCCCAGTGAGCCTCTCCAGTACCCTGGCCCTGCTGGCCCTTGGAGCCCACGGTGACACCCAGACGGAGATCCTGGAGGGCCTTGGCTTCAACCTCACAGAGACCCCAAGCACCGACATCCACCAGGGCTTCCAGAGCCTCCTGCACACCCTTGACTTGCCCAGCCCCAAACTCGAACTAAAGGTGGGAAACTCTTTGTTCCTAGACAAGCAGCTGAAGCCTCAGCAGCACTTTTTGGACAGCGTCAAGGAGCTGTATGGAGCTCTGGCTTTCTCTGCCAACTTCATGGATTCTGCCACAACCGGAAGGCAGATCAAGGAGTTTGTGAGAAAGCAGACTTACGGGCAAGTCTCCGACTGCTTTCAGGAGCTGGGCCACGACACACACATGGTTTTCTTGAATTACATCTTCTTCAAAGGTGAGGACTTGCTCCAATAGAACCAGGGCCGCCTTCTCCGCAAGCTAGTGCTCTCACAGCAGGAACAGCTGAAGGCCCCCTGCAGCCCTGTGGCATTTGGGTGTCCTCTTGGGAATATCTGGGAATAAGACAGTTTTCCTGCCCTGTGTGCTCAGATCTCATGTGGTTGGAAACAATAGGCCACACAGCTCAGAAAGATAATGATGGTGACCTTCTTGTGCCATGGGGGCCCCCTCCAGGCACAGGGGGCCAGGGAAGACTTCCTGGAGGAAGAGGCATCTAGCAGAGACAGGAAGAACGGGGTGGGTCAAAGCAGGGGAAGAGGCTGTGCAAGAGTTGGGAGGAGAGGTTTAGGTTGAACAAAACCCCAGGGAAAACAGATACCACTGCATTTTGAAAGAACCAGTGCTGCCGGAGTTTGACCAGGAGGCCATGCAGGAAGCCCAGGGAAAGTTCCAAGCGTTGCAAAATTGAGGAAATGAGGACCATGCTGAGGATCCTAGACCCCTCTAGGTGAGCTGCAGCACTGCCTACTCCTAAGTAGTAGAAAACCACACCACCTCTATTTTAGAAGGACTGATCTGGCCAGATGCAGTGATACATGCCTGTAGTCCCAGCTACTTGGGAGGCTGAGGCAGCAGGATCACTTGAATTTGGGAATTTGAGATCAGCCTGGGAAACACAGTGAGATGTATCTTAAAAAAAGAAAAAATAGACCAATCTAGCTACAGTTTGGAAAGCAGGTCAGAGTGAGACTGGAAGAGGAATGACACATTACGAGGTTCTCAAAAGGAAGTGTGATGGGGACCTTGAAAAAGCAGTGACTTTGTAGGTAGCATGACAACATCGGGTGGTCATTGATTGGGTATGGACACAGAGGCTGGGATGACTCAGTCCCTCCACCTGCACCAAGACCAGTGCTTCCGGAGGTGGGATGGGCGCGGATTACAGGAAGTGTGGGAGAAGTGGCACTGATTCGGGATGGTCCCTTCCTGGGCGCCTCCCTTCTCCTTGCTGCCTTTTCTCCTGGTGGCTCTCACAGGGCGGGCACATTGTAGATGGGGACACCACGCGTGACCTCTGGAGAGCTATATTCCTCAGAAACGGGAAGGCATCCTAGACCACAAGAGCTCTGGGTCTGGTGACTTGCTCCAGCAGCGAAGCCGGCCCTACATCCAGGCCGCTTCCATGCCCTGGAGGAAATCACCTCCGCGCGTGGCCGTGGGGACTCCCTCTCTGGGAACCGCCTTTCCACAGCGTCGCGGGTCTTACGTCCCCAGCCAAGTGGAAGCATCCTTTCGATCGCTACCATACCCGGAAGCAGGAGCGATTCTCTGCGGACGCGCCCATGATGCAGCAGCGGGAGATGCACAGGTTCCTCTACGACCAGCAGGTGGCGTGCACCGTGCTCCAGATCGAGTACAGCGGAAACGCGCTGCTGCTGCTGGTGCTGCCCGACCCGGGGAAGATGAGGCAGGCGGAGGCCGCTCTGCAGCCTGAGACTCTGCGGAGGTGGGGCCAGCGCTTCCAGCCCAGGTGAGTGCCGGAGCCTCTGGGCTTGGCTCACGACTTGCCATCACCGACTCTGTGATTTTGGGGCCCCAGATTTCCTCACCTGTAAAATAAGGACCCGGAGGATTAACTGAGTTAACATTGGACCCTAAGTGCTCACTGGGTGGGGACCTTGATCCCTTCCCGGGGGTTCTCCTGGTTCCAATCTCCTTGCTTCCCCTTTGTTCACCGTCATAATTTGATACCAGAAAGTAGCTCAGGTTAGCCCAGAAAATCAGATCAAGGGCAATTATTAAGTATAATCATGACTCCCACAGGATAGTATGTATGTTTAAAAGGTCTTTCTATTTAATTAAAACATATTTAGAGAAATAAATACCAAGAAAAGCAACAAGCTAGGTGTGGTGGCTCACGCCTGTAATTCCAATACCCTGGGAGGCTGAGGCAGGAGAATCACAAGTTCTAGCCCACCTGGGCAATTTAGGGATATTCTGTCTCAAAAATATTTTAAAAAGGAGATTTGGGGAATAAGCACAGTGTGCTGGCCCTGAGTTCAGTCCCCTATAAAACACATACACACCAACAAAATCAAAGTATCAACTCACTTGCTTTTTGTTTTGTGGTTTTGTCATGAGAAGCTTAGCTCTTTCTGGGTTCTCTAAATCTCCTTCTCTGGCCAACCCTTTCTTTATGGGGTGCTTTCGGGTGAAATCTGGTACTGACTTCTAGTTACCTTTTGCTGCAAAATAAGACACTCCTGAATTAACCTGCTAAAGCAAACTAGACATTCCCTTTCTCGGTTCTCTGGGCTGACTGGGCTCCTCCGCCAGGCTGGAGAGGACTGAGCAGGCTCTTTCTCTCCAGGCTTGTCTGCCTAGCTCACTACAGCAGCTGGGTGTAACCGACTTTGCTCTGTGGCAGCTCAGGGCTCCCAGTGAAAGTGCTCCCAAAGACAGGAAGTGAAAGCTCCGACCTCCTGAAGCTCCGCCCAACATTGTGCTTCTCGCTCCAGCTGCAGAACCTCCGCACCTCACCAGATGCTAGGGCAGGGCTCTGAAGGTCCACCTTTGGGTGACCACTTTTTAATCCAACCCAGCCTAGTGGCACCAGGTCCCCTTGACACCCACAGGTGTCTTCTCTGAGGCTCCGAGGGAAGAAAGGGGTTATTTTGTATTTGGGCAGAAATTAAAGCACCAAATAAAAGAGAGATGGTCAGGAAGACAGGCCTGGATTGAAGGGATTATCTGATACCTGTAACTCTGTCCAGAATCTGGCTCAGTGAGAGCCTACCCTTACCCCATTGCAGGAGGGAGGACCTTGGAATCTTCTAGACCCCGGGCCAGGGATTTAACTCAATGGTGCTACCCCCTGCCTTGTAAGCACAAGGTCCCAATTTTGATCCCTGGTACAAAAAAAAAAAAAAAATGTTCTAGTATTTTCCCTCAGGAGGTGTTTGGTTTGGCTTCTTCTCATTTCAGTCTTCAGAAGACAAGGTGAATCGAGTTAGGCTGCTAAATCTCAGTTGTCTCCCAATGGGTCAGAAAGTTCCAATCATAGCAAAATTTTCATGGGCTTTTGCTCAGGGATATTTTATTACTTTTATTAGTACATGTTTGCCATGCATAATGTTTACATTCCTTGTGTGGAGTTGATAACACGTGCCTAACACATCTTAATTCTTTTTTTCTTTTCTAAGTTAATTGCCAAATATTTAGTTCATTTTTTTTAGCTGTGTGATAAGGTACAATTTTATTTTGTAGAATCAGAAAAGTGAGAAGACTTATATAAATTGTTAGTGCCTATCAATAGTCAAAGAGGTCATTAAGAAAAAGTTACTTTTTACATTATGTACTTTACAAAGACAAGTTCCCATTTAAGCAATCTCAATAATACATAATAATGTTGACATCCTTGAATTTATTTTATAGAATAGAAAATTATGGTGAGCAGGTGTGTGTCTGTGTGTGATGTAGACTCTTACATTTTCTTTTCTTTTTTTTTTTTTTTTTCAATTCTGAGAGTTGAACCCAGGGCCTAGTGAATGATAGATAGGCAAGTTAAGCAGTTAAAAATCTGAACTATGCCCTTTAAAATATTTTGAATAACAGAGATGAAATTTAATTAATGTAGTCAAGTATTAAATAGTCAAACTATTTTGTGACTTAAAGAACTGAGGTCCTCTTCCCTTTGCATACTCTGGTATTTTCACCAGAGTTACAGAGTTAAAAATCCCTGTAACAAACTGCTTTCTTTGTACTAATGGCTTCTTTTATTTATTATTAGTAGCAGCAGTATATGTTTGCAGTTCATGCCATTTACAGCCATCTTGGGAAACTCTCATCCTGACTTAGCTCCCTCAAATGTCAGCAACTGGACATTACACTGTAACAATGATGTTTCCACAGAGTCTTTAAGTAGAAAGTATATGGTACTTGTTGCCAGCCCAATTGTTAATAATGACAAGAACAGAAGGAGACCACATTGTTGTATAGTAATGACCCCTCAAATAGACTTGAGTTCCATTCAGTGCCTAGAGTTTGTCATTTTAATGGTCATAGGGTTGCAATTCACTACTTCACTGAGAATTGATGATTTCAACTGTTGTAATTAACTGTAATTTTTAATCTATCTTCCCTGAGCTTCTTGAATACTTTGAAGAACAAAAAAAGTAAGGCATGACATCAAAGTTAGCTTTAAGAAAAACCCAGAATCTCTATGTATATATTTTTAGGGAGTTCAATATGTTTTACTTTCTTGTGTCGTTTCTCGGGTTTCTCCACATGAATGTTGTTGACATTTGCACATTAGAAATGAATATATTTCAATTTGTCAGTCTATCAATTCACTTGCTTACCTACCCACCTGTATCTTAGCATATTCTACAACCCCCCCCCCCTCGCTTGTTCCTTTCTTTCTTTCCTTCTGTCTTTCCACCCTCTCTTCCACAGACGTGAGGAAGGTGTTGGACACAGGTGCCATGAATCTTTCCAGCGCTGGCCCCTAGGTGTTCCACGAGGGCTGAAGAGGAGAGCCCTGGGAGCTGGCCATGGAAGTTTCCACCGTGGCAGTCATGGCTTGGGAGGACAGGGAGCCCGATGGGCCTAATGCTGGGAGCCGCTTTCCCCGCTGCAGCTCAGGCTGCCAGAGAACAGCAGGAGAGCAGCACATGTACCACAGTCCTCTTTCTCTCTCTGTCTCTCCCCCCGCCCATTCTCTCTCAGCCTGCTGGATTTGCACTTGCCAAGGTTTTCAATTTCTGGAACTTATAACCTGGAAGAGATCCTTCCCCAGATGGGTCTCACCAACATATTCGACTTGGGAGCTGACTTTTCGAGAATCACTGGGCATCTCAACAGATCCATCTCCCAGGTACGGCTGTGACTGGAAGTGTGGCAAGAGGGGATCTTTCTCCTCTCACACAAGGTGAACTTGAAAATCAAATTCCCTTTTTATTTTCCTGTACTGATTCTTCAAACCCACAGTCTTTTGGCTTCTTTACATTGGTAGCTCCATTTCTACCGTCCTCTTCCAGGTCTGCATTTTCCAGAGAAGGAATACAGAAATAGACCCTCATTTGAGATTATCTGCTGAGCCAGAATTCTCCCAGGTGGCAGGTGTCATTGCTTTTACTCCTCAGATATCCTCCTAGAGCAGCAAGAAGATTCTATTTGCCTTTGTCATAGCTGTGGAGTGAGGCATGAATAGGAAGTGCGTCAGCCCTGCAGCTCAGCACCTTACCACAAGAAAGGCTCATTTCCGGTTCATATTACATGTCAGAGACCAGTCTCTACCCCTGGCTACACATTTGCTTGCCCGTCTTCTTCCTCCTAGGATATGGGGCAAGGGGAGCCCCATGCCTGGAATACACCATTCTCAGTGGAGAGGGGAAAGCAAGAGAAAATGTGCAATGACTCTTAACAGTTCTTCCCACACATAATCTACGTCATGTATGCTTGAGGCCATTTTCAGTGGGGAGGAGCTGTGCTCTTCAGGACCAGAGGTGCTGGGAGCCAATGGAGTGGTGAAGGATCCACAACCCTCTCACAGGAAGAGAGAGTTGACCTTTGGGAAGAAGAAGAATAGTACAGCAGGAAAGGCAGCAAAGGCCCTTCCCTGAGCCTTGCTTAACTGTTTTGTTTTATGATAAAATCCTTCCTTACTGTCTGAGGTTTGTTAGCAACTCATAAGGAAAGCATTCTGTCTCTTAGTACTTACTAGGAAAGGACTGGCTGAGGGTGGAGTGTGCAGTTGGGGACATAGTCTTGTGTGTGTGTGTGTGTGTGTGTGTGTGTGTGTGTGTGTGTGTGTGCATGGTGGGAAGGTAAACAAGAAGAAAAAGAACATTTTTGCTTTTAAAGAGCTTTTTTTCACAGTAGTCTTAAACGCAACATTTAATTTTTTTCATAGTCTTTTAGAAATAAAAAGGATAATCAACACCAGCTGTTTTCAACTTCTTTTAAAGTCTCAGAAACCTTTCCTCCCAGGAAGTTGTGTGAAAATGAGAAGGTGGAAGAGGAGAAGGTGGAGGAGAAGGAAGAGGGGGAGGGAAAGGGGGAAGAGAAGAGGAGGACGGGAGGGGAAGGGAAAGAGAGGAGGAGTTAGAGTGGGGGAAGGCGGCTCCTTTCCACTGAGAGCATTTAGAACACCATGCATCCAGGCTGAGCAAGCCATTTTAAAGATGGGAAGACCGAGTCTCGGGGAGGTCAGGTGTAGCTGGCAGAAGGACAAGGTACCCAGGTGTGGGGAAAGGCTACTGGAAGGGCCACTGGCACCTGGCACACTCAGGCAGCCTCAGCCCGGCCCAGGCCCATTCATCTTCCTGCCATAGGGCAGTGGGCACCACAGGGCAAATCCTAAGGAGAGAGAAACAGGAAGGAGGGACTGAAGAGAAGCTGGAGCTGCTTTCTAGGCCACAGGGCCAGCGTGCATGCCTCAGCCTCAGCCTCACCAATGCCCCAGAAGGCGGCCTCTGCCTTCAAACGCCCCCTGAACTCTGCCATGTCTGGCCCTCTTCTCTCTTTGTAGGTGTCGCACAAGGTGGTGGTGGACATGAACGAGAAGGGAACCGAGGTAGGGGCTGCCTCAGGCCTCCTCTCCCAGCCGCCAGCCCTGAACATGACCTCGGTGCCCTATGCCCCCTTCAACAGGCCTTTCTTGCTGCTGCTGTGGGAGGTGACCACCCAGAGCCTGCTCTTCCTGGGCAGAGTGGTCAACCCGGTTGCAGGGTGACCATGCCGGGAGGTCAGGGATGTCTCCTGTCCCCTCACCAGACAGGAAGGCCAGCCCCAGCCTGCACTGCAGTGCACCGGTGTGCTCAGACACTAATAAAGTCGGATTTGTGAACCCTGAGGAATTTCACCTACCCCAGAGCAACTTCTGCCCATCACTCCAAGGGTTGCTAACTGGGATCAGAAAGTGCAAGATGAATACAGCCGGTGCTATGGTCTCCCGGGAAGCAGCTACCACTGCCACCACCATGATCGATATTTGCTGAGTGTCCTTTAGGTAAGGTCACAGTAACAGGAACAGGGGACATCGGAGCAATAAGCAAGACACTCCCTTCACAGAGGTCCATCTGGGCTGACAGCCAAATGAGGGCCTCCTGCGGCCTCTTTGCTCAGAAGTCGGGAGCTGGATCACCTTGGGGAGGGGTGCACTTGGACCTGGGCCAGGACCTGCCAGCCATGAGCTGCAGGGTGTGGATGGCACAACACAGTTGTGGGTCAGCCAGAGAGGGAGGCTAATGGAAGCAACAAGGAAAGAAGTCAGGGACAGGGGCCACCTCCAAGACAACAAAGTGTGAGGTCAGTATGGCCAGGAGCAAGGTGGGCACTGGGAAAAGCAAGGTTGGTAGCGTACATTTGGAGGCTGTTTTCAGTAGAGATGGGGCAACATTCAGAGACTGGAGCGTGACTCCTCCAAACGTGCCTGTCCGGGAGGCATCTGTCCTGGATGGAAGGGGAAGGCACCAGAGCCACACCTGCATATCATCCTCAGGCTGAAGTGGGAGTTGCCTAACTGTGTGTTCTTGACAAAAGACTTCAGTGAAGACACCGAAAAGCACTGTGAAGCAAAGGCAGAATTTACTGCAAAGTGAAACAGTGCCAGGTAAAGTCCACTGGGAAGAGTGGGCAAGAGTCAAGATGGCAGTTGCGCCAAGTACAAGTTTAAATTTTAGTTACATGAGTTTTGTTAGGGTGTTCTGTCTTTTCAGTCCCATCTAATCTTCTCTGAAGTCCTTTGAAATGTTGAGAAAACAGGAAAAGACCCTGATATGTCACCCCCTCCCCCATGCAGAGTCTGGTGACAGCTTCCCAGGGTCTGTTTGGTACCAGGGCTTGTCAGATACTTTAGAAAGCACACTGCCCCTGGGAATGTTCCTTACTTAATGTGGGCAGATCTTAAAATGTGACTTTTATTCCTTTTGAAATGAGTGGTCCATTGGCAGAAGCAACTTGGAATGCTTAATGCTTTATTTTTTGAGAAATAAATAGCCCTTAAGTCTTGACTGACCCCACAGTGCAGCTGTTTAAAGTGTGTGACCTTCAGATTTCCTTGTGCTGCAGAGGGATAGTTTTACACTGAGGTCTTTAGTTCTTTGCTCAATGATAACTGGAGAAGCTTGTCGCTTTGATACCCTTTGTCCCTCAGGCCCACTCATGTCTTATAGATGACGATGCCCAGGTGAAATCTCCTGGTACGAAATTGATATGGGGGAAGAGATGCAACTCTCAAACCTGCTAGATATCCAAAGTGAAAGTTCATGTTCTCTAAAATCGAAGAATGAATTCTAGGAATAACGGAGGTTAAGAGTAGGATAGTTTTATTGAGAGAAATGTAGCGTCTGTTTAAGAAAGACAGAAAGACCGGAAAGTGGGTTGCCCACTCACCCAACTTCTTAAAGGTGTTTTATGGGACAAAGCCACTAGGTGGGTTCAAAGTGGGACAAAACTATAGTCAACTAGTAAGTTTGCAAATACAGTCACTTAGGTAATATTGATCCAATGAGAAATCACAAGGTGGACAAAACGGTGAACAACCAATAAGATTATGACAAGTATAGTCACTTAGGTAATACTGATTAAATGGGCATCCACTGGGGAAACGAGTCATGCAGCAAGTGTATGAGCAAGGATTTTCAGTGGTAAAGGGTGGGTCAGATCTTGGTCCCCCCCAGGTGATTGATACCTATTATTTACAATATCAATCACTGCTATCCATGCAATGTGGGTATAGTAGTTTCCTCTTCTTTTATGATGCTGGCTTTCAGTGAATGTGTCTTGCCTGTCCTCCGTGTTGGCTCCTTGAGGGCTGGACCTGTCTAACGGCCTACAAGACATCTAATTCACTTACCTTACTTACCTTTCTATGATAAGATGATCCACAGTGGTAAGATATGTGTTTCTGTTGCAGGACAGTGTGATGTCTGGTGGTTCCAGGCTCTTTCTGTCCCAAAGAATTAGGACAATGAATGAATAGGTAAATGCAACTTTTATTGAAAGTAAAAGAAGAAAAGAGACAATGTGAAGAAAAGAGAAGGAAGAAAAGAGTGGGAAAAAAAAGGGCAAAGTAACAAGTAGAGATGTGTCCTGAAAGCAGGACAGGCAACTGCAAAAACAGGAAGACAGGAGGACAGCAAGATCAGAGTAGCCACAGTGTCAGTAGCCACTGCCTTTTCTACCTCCCATATCTGGTCCCTGGGAAGTCATCCTGCCCAGGCATCCTGGCTGTGATTGACAGGTCCCATCCTGTTGTTGACCAGCCTCTGTTCCCGGCTCAGGTTACATGCTGCCTCCTCTTTTCAGCCAGCCTGCAGTGCCCTAATCTCCTGCCCTCACTTCTCTTCTGGGGACCTTTCAGCAGTTTCGAGCAGGGTGTTTATTTTGTCCTTATTCACTGAGTGTTAAAAACCAGTGAGCTATGCGGATTGCAATAGTGATCTAGAAAGACTAGGTCCTGATCCAGTCCATAGCCCCACCTCTCCACAGTTCCCTCGCTGTAATTATGAGCAATATGTAGAAGGAAAATGGAGGCCCCGGATTTGTTTGTCATGATGCTGGCTGTGGCTTTGAACCAAGACCATTCAAAAACACTGGTCTGCTAAACTTGACTCTCTGACACATAGCTGAGACCCGAGGGGCTTGTCTTTCCAAAGCCCAATCCCTAATCTTGGGTCTTACCACTACGATGATCCAAAATAGCCAGTGGCAGGTAAGGGCCAAAGGAATGTGGGGTGGAGCTACAGACTGAAAACAGAGGGAAAGGGAATACGTTTCTAAAGGTCATGAAATGGTTGAATATCAACAGACACAGCCTGAGCTGCAAAGTCCTCTGACGCCAACATCATGCAGAGGGAGAATTCATGAGGCAATGCTGAATGTCGTGTCTGCGTGATTTCTGACCAGCTTCACGTTTGAGGAAGGAAGTGCTTCTCACAGTAGTTGAAATCCCTCAAAACATTAAGAGCCTCTCAGTGTACCTTTTATCACGCTTTTTTTTTTTTTTTTTTTAACA